ATAAGCAAGTCAATCCATTGTGCTTGTACCAAAGTTTAAAAAATGACTACCACGCACAGCCCATTACTCATCAGTGTGCTTCTCATGCCATGTCAAACTTGGTTTTTGACGCCAATCATTTATTAACTTTAACTCCATTTTTATACATGTTGTAAAAAAAAAAAAGTTGATTAATTTCATTGTATATTTTCACAATATAAAATTTTAAAGTTTGTTAGGGAACAATGTATACAAAATTTATGGTCAAAGTGATGTATTAAAAATACACAAGTAAAAACAATGCATTTATTGTGAAACAAATGTGTATAAGGATTATTAATGTGCATAGATGGTTTAATTTTATTGAAAATATAAGTGAAAATTTATCCAAATTCTTGATTTGTTTACCTTTAATTATTTGTAGTTTTTCCATCAATTTTGAAACGATAATAAGAAAAACAAAAGAGGGCTAATTTACATTGAAAACTTACATTCTTACAAAAAATTATAGAAAAATGGAGACTTAGTCAGGTTTGCTCAATTTTTTTTTGTTTCATCATTTTCCTTTTCAATTATGTACTTCCTCCGTTCCTACTAAATCTTTACATTTTGACTTTTATGATCAACAATATCAACATATAAATACTTTTACCATAAAATCCAAAACCATGTCATGTGGGATCTTGTTAAACATGGCTTGAAATATATTATAAAAAAATATAAATTTTAGATATAGAATTTTTACTCATATCTTATTGCATATATATATTAGTGGTCAAAGATGTACGTGCATTTGAAGATCGTAAAATTCAAAGCATAAAGAATAAAACAAAACAGAATGACTGCCAATTAAATTAAAGCATTGAGAAATAAGGAGTTTTTTTTTTAAAAATAAAATTTATGTGCTTTATCTCGATTACTTCATTAATTCTTATTAATTATTATTACCCTACCACACTAATACATAATGCAAAAAAAGAAAAACAATAAACTACATAATATAAATGATAATTGATCATGCATATAACTAATACTCGTATATTGTGAAATTCGGATAGATTTTTACAATATAAAATTTACTTTATAGTTTTATTTTTGATAAACCTCCAACATTAAATACATATAAAGTAGATTATATTTTTTTAATAAATATCTTATAATTATACTATGTTTACATTATAAAATTCGTTTCACTTATAATATGTCTTAATTGATTAAAAACCAAAGGTTTACAAATGTTATATCGTGCTCTGTAATTTAATTTGTAGCTTGTAATATCGTGCTCTATATAAGACTCTGACCCATTTATAAATGGTGAGTAGTGGAATAATATAAAGAGTTGGTAATTCAAGCATATAAAGCATGTTGGATTGAGTATTTGAGAGTTACTTGCTTTTATCCTTACCTTTAAAGACCATACCTTATAAAAAGTATGAGAAAACACTTATAAATTATGTGAGAATAATTTTATCCCCAAATGTTTATTCAGCTATATGTCCCTATTCATATAATGATTTGACGATTAACTCTTTTGAATAGTGATTGGACAATTATATCCCCTGAAATGTTTATTTACTTTCTCCCCCTTATTAATAGTTATTTTTTAATTCTTAAGAATAGTGTGCAAATATTTATATCGTTAAAGTATTTTTTATTTTTTACATATTTTCCCTCATTAATATAACAACTGATAGAGCTCTCCAGACATAGCTAGCTACGGTGCACGCATCACGCGAGTTAGCCACTCTAGTTATTCACTTCTTCTATAAATGTCTTGGTTTTGTTTATTTGGACAATTAAGGATATTCAGAATACGGCAAGTATGTTTCAAACTTGTGTTGTTTGGAAGGTTAGTAGGGAACAAGTTCACCCGGCACATCGAGGGCAAATGAGTGCAGAAACAATTTTACCAGCTTTGTTACTTAGTTTATTTTGCTTCAATGTTGTCAAAAAAAAATAAATAAATAAAAAAAAAACTTTGGGGTAATATTTGTAAGATATAAATTAAAAATTCCAAAGTTACAGATAACAATTAACGGAATTAGTAAATTGTTTTGGATTTGGTTTTTGGGTCATTATGATTCCAAGTTGTAATATTTCGTAAGTGAGTTTGGACCTATATTTTTTTTGGTGTTCCAACCCGATTCACCCTTTGGGCTAATCCGGATTCGGGGTCTAATTATGGGTGGTTAGGTTCCAATTCCCTCTAGTTTTGACCTATATTTATTTGGTTTGGAAAACTTATTTGGTTTATTGGATGTGTAGATAGTGTTGAAAGTAATCTTTTAATTTGTTGTGTTTATGTTTTGTAAAAGCTCCAACTGTTATCACATGGTGATAATAGTTTAGTTATTTCCTTAAATTATTATTTAATTTTGTAGAAGAGAGGATTTTAAAAATAATTTCTAGGGTTTTTCAATAACAATAATAATATCAATAATTAAAATAATATGAATTGATTTGAGCTAAACTAAAATAATATGAACTGCAATTAACATCAGAAAAGTTCAAAAGAACAAGACCTAACTAATATAAACTGAAATAATATAAACTGAAAGTATTTTTACCAAACCAAAATTATTTTTACTGATTAAAACTTATTTTTACTGATTCTCTATTATTCTTTTAACTAAATTAAATATACGTAGTATTATAAATGGATCTTATTTTAAAGAACTTTTTGAAACGAATTTTATGATGGAAATAAAACCGAATTATAGAATATTTATTGAAAGTTATGATTTTGTATATATGAAACATTAGAGGTATTTCGATAATAAAACTTTATACAACATTTTTATCTTACAAAAAATATATCCATTAGCATCACATTTGTCACAATCTAATCTAATCTAATATATATAAATAAAGTAGTCACTTTTCAAGAGCATTCGGCGCGCCACATAAACAAAGGTATATTTTCGACCAATTAAAAATTAGATTTTTATTTTATTTTGGAATTAAAAAATTCATTTGCCACCTAAACAAAAGTGACGAATGAGATTTAAGAATTTTGCCACGTAAATAAAAATAACGAATATTGATTTATTAGGATTTAATTTATTTTAAAAACTAAAAATTATCTTTTAAAATAATCATCTTTAGATATAGGATTTATATACCTATTATAAGATAAATTTTGATAGTGTTTATGATAAGAATAAAAATTATTCCTTAATTATAATTAAATTAAAATTTGTGATATTTACCATTACAAATTGACGCATCATATGACACCAACAAAATTTCGTATCAATACAAAACCAAACCAAGCAAATTATGTGTCATTAATTTTGTGATAGTTTTATTATGTCATCAATGGCTGGGTAATTCTTAGCCTAATTTTTAAAACCCATGTTTAAATGTATATTTGTGATTATTGCTTAAATTGTGTTTATTTGGGATACTTAATGATTATATGTTTATGTTTTGTTACTGAATTTTGTTTCTACATGCAAATCTAATTTAATCAGAGAATTATATTTGAGCAAAAAATCTTTGGAATATCAAAGTACGAGTTTCTCGCCTGATGATCCTATTGGATGAGGAGGTATTATATCTGTATAAATCGTTTACATTTATTAAATCTTTTAATGAACCTTTTAGTTTTTATCAATTAATTTTATGATTAAAACAATTTTTTTGTGATTTAGGTAGCTTAATTAAGTCATAGAATTAACTTAATATTTTATTTTAATTACAGGGTGATTACGTTCATGCCTCAATTAAAGTCAACTTTGTTCTACAATTTTGTTCAAAATTGATTGAAGGAAAAGTTTACTCCATTAGATACTTTTCAGTCGTTACAAATAAGAAGCAATATCGCACGCATTGTCAGTAACAACAAAATAATGATTCAATTTTCCAAAATACTATTGTTTGGGCGATTGAGGACGATGAAAAAATTCCAATACATAGATTTAATTTTGTATAATTACAATTTTTTAGATTAATTTCACAACAATTATTCACTTTCTGGTAAATATTTTAATTTATTTTATAAGACTACAAAGATTAATTTGATATAAATTTTATTTTTGCTCACATGTTCAATTTATCCACTTTTATTGGATGGAAGAGATATGGGTGTGAACAAAATTGGTGATCCTATCGAATTTTTTTTTAATACAAATTTTTGTACATCGAATTATTACATCTAATAACTATTATTTTTAATGTTCTTATTAAAATATTTATTAGGGGAATAAATTACATAAATTAATAAAAAATTATCCTTAAAAACAATAGCAAAGTAATCAAAAATATTATGAGTATGATCTAATTACAAAAATTATTTTTATGAGATTACGTATAAAAAATCGTGGGATATTAGGATTTAAATTATTAAAAAAAAATTATCTTATGAAATTAATGGTTTTATCTAAATATCGATTAATAAGATGTTTTTTTCATAAAAAAAAAATTTAAACTTATAACGCGCGCAATAAAAAACTTTACCTTCTTTAAACATTTTATGTCTAAAAAATTGGAAAGACAGATAATTTGTTAGAGATCAAGAGATCACAAAAAGTATACAAAATGATATATAGATTTGAGAGTTTAATTTCAAGCGTAAAAGGCAACGAATAATGATTTAGGATTTAAATTATTTTAAAAATAAAAAATTACTATCTTTTCATATTATCATGTTTACAATTTTTTTTTTTTTTGAAAGATATCATATTATTGTCATATAACTAACAACAACGAATAAAATACAAAACACCAATAAGTTAAGTCGCATTATAAATTACATTAAAAAATTATACTTTTGTAAATGGCAATATCATTTTAATTAAATTATTATTTGTTTTTTTTTGTCTGAAATTATTAAATTGTAAAATAAATCAAATAATTAAAAAAAAAAACTTCGAGTATATAGGAATATATCTTTTCGAGATATATGTATGAGAAATCGTGCATCGCACGGGCTTTCATCTAGTAATACCTATTTGTCGCCTACGTGGCGTGATACTTAGCAAAAAACTGGAATAATAGGAACTAAGAACTGATATGAGCTGTCCAACGCGTTAGATCTGTGTACATTTCACCCGCCTCATTAAGGGCATTTTCGTAATTTTGTCCATTAAACGACCTTTGTTCTAACTTTCTTTCTCTTCCTCTTACTTTCTCTCTCTACATTTTTTCTCTCTCTCTACCTCCGTACTCTCTAAAAGTCTGAAGGCGATTTCGCTCATTGAGTTCATAAGTTTTCCTCTTCGATTTCGCAAATTGTTTGATTATTCTTCTACGTTCTTGTTTTTGCTGTGATTCGTACCCTCTGAATTTTCTCTAATTGTCTTTCTTTCAGCGAATTTTTTTACGCTGTTCTTGTTGTTGGACGAATCCGCTTTTCTCCTGTGAGGCAAGTAGGCAACTATATTAGACAAGTAAGCTATTTGATTGTGTTCTTCTGTTGTTTTGTTCAATTGTTTTTTAATTGTTTGATTTATTTATGATTTTGAGTCTGAATTTAGGGTTTTTGCTATTTTTAGTTTGAGCAATTTTGCAATTTCACTTATTTTTTCTAAGATTTTGTTGCGATTTTTGTCGAGCCTTCTCGCGAATTTCTGTTTAAGGTTCCAAATTAAATCTCAATTTATTTGTTGATTTTTTTTAACTAGGTCTTCGCCTCTTCGATGCCTACGTGCGATTTTCTATCTAAGGTTCAGAATATAATTTCAATTTAATTGTTGATTTTCTTTAACTTGGCTTTCAAATGAAATTACTGTACTTTAATTTTTTGTAATTGGACATCTAAATTGATGGGATTTTCACATGATCTGATCTTTTTGATGGTTTAGTATGATGTGTGATTGTTTGTTTGATGTTAGAGGTCCAATCTTTTTTGTTTTTCCTTAATAGCTATGCATGTTAGTTTGGAATTACATGATACTAAGATATGCTAGTTTCTATCGTAGGTTTTTAATTTTTTGAATTACTTTTTAGCTTATGTAATTTACTTTTGAGTTATATTATTTACTTTTAGTTGATGGTGGTGGTTGAGTTTGGTATGGCTTTGTGTTGTTGATGGTAGTGGCTGCGTGGGGGAGCTGATGTCTAGGGTTGTTGTTAGGTAAAAGCAGCAAGCGTATTGTGGGTTTTTGTTGTGACGACCTTGGGTGTTTTGTGAATGGGGATCTTCTATGGCTAGCAAGTAGCAGGGGTATGGGTGCTATGTGCCACTGACTGTTGTTGCATGGGTAAGGGAACTTAGCAGGTGGTGGTGTTATTGCAGAGTGTTTGTGTTCAATTTTTTTTATACTCGTAGTAGTTTTTTGAAATGACGTATGTGCTTAATCTTGTGGTGGATGGTGCCTAATGTTGGGAGCAACGGAAACTTCAGCATGAGGAATGGTTTTATTGTAGAATTGTGATGAGTACACGTAATAAGGCGATTCCACTATGTGGTGATACTCTTCATCAGCATTCTCATTCCTCAAGCATATGATCAGTTAGTTGCAAAGTTAACTATTTATGTTCTATGAGTTTATAATTTGTTTTTTCTTTGTTAAATTCTTCCTTCTTAAATCATGGTGATGATTCAGTATTCTCATGTCCTGTTGTGTTCAACCTTCTAGATTTAAATTAAGACTTTAATCTCCTAGAATGTATATAGCGACGTTGGATTTCAACAATAGGATGCATTTTGAAGTAGTGGAGTACATTAGTTATTTTCCTTGTTGAAAAGCAAATCATTTGGGAGTCACTGGTGCTATAATAATCAAAATGCTATTGAAGTTCTAAACTCTGAAATCTGAATACACCATGCTGTATGTCGAATAGCAACCATGAACTTATGTGTAATTTATCTATGACATGAATGTAGTTATTTGGAGTTGAGCACATTGTTGGAGGCTGCAAATTTTTTTTGCTTCTCACAGTCACCAATCTCACTTGGAATTGGGCTCATGAGAGCGCTCTGTTGCAAATCAAGAGACTCCAAATTCTTAAGTTTGCCTATCTTAGATGGGACACATCCATTCAACAGGCAATAAGCAATGGCTAGAACTTTTGATTCAATAAAGTTGCCAATGTTGCCAATACTTTTGGGGATCTTTCCTCGAAGCAAGTTGTCCCCTATTCTAAGAACCTCCAATTTAGGAAGAAAACTGAGCTCCAATTAGTTTAATATGGCTAATGTTATCTTTAGTGCTTCTCTTATTTGCTTTTGAGTATATCTTATTTACTTTTGTATTTGTTTTCTTTACTTTGAAATATTTTATGTATTAAGAAATTAAAATGACTCTATAATAACCTACTAGCTCAATTGTTAGAGCATTGTGCAAGTGCATAAAAGATGGTTCAAATCCCACGTAGGTTTTTTTTAACGCTTCGAACCATTAGATTATAGATAGATACACTTTTGATATTTTTATATTTATTACTTTTGTGTTTTTCTAATTTACTTTTGTGCAAGTATTATTTACTTTTGAAAAAAAGGAAACGACAAATGCTATATCACATATATGTACATCAAATTGGAACTCTTGGAGGCAGTTCATATTGACTCTAGTATACTTTGAGTGCAATAAAATTTTCATATCCCTCAAAAATTGTACTACGTATACTCTATAGATGTTTTGATTTACTTTTAATATTTTTTATTTACTTTTGAGATATTTGAATGTTAAATATACACTACCCTACTAGTTTAACATATAAAGCATTGTGCAATTGCACAAAAGATGTAGGTTCAAATCCCAGCAAGTTTATTTGTGTAATATGAAGATTAGACTACTTATTAAGGTTTAGTTATATGTTTTATTAGTTTTTTATTCTCATTTGTTTACTTTCGATATAGTTTTATTTACTTTTTAATTTTGAAAACATCTACATCGAATTCAATATATTTGTTACTTATTATAACATGACTCATTTTGTAAGAAAGTCAATGACTTGGAGTTTTTGAGTTTTCTTAGTCAATAATTATCATTTCAAGTTAATTTATTGTTCGTATACTTTAGAGATAATTTGATTTACTTTTTAGTTATTTTGATTTACTTTTTAAGATATTTTGAATAACTTTAGAGTGTTTTTATATTTACTTTTCAAGAACCCATGTTAGTATCGAACCTACACCTCTATGCATCCGCATAGTGTTATATGAATTGAGCTAATAGGTTTACTTTAAAGTTTTTTTTATTCACTTTAGATTCTTTTTTATTTACATTAAACTATTTTTTATTTACTTTAGATATTTACAGCTTACATAGAATCCTCATTGAACATTTAATGTCTCATACAAACTTGGGAGAACTATTTTCATGAGAAAAAGATTCAGGTTAGCAACCTACAGTATTTTCTATGTCTCTAGTGATAGTGAGAGTTCTTAAAGGAAGGGGATAAGGATGCATGTTCTAAGGACGTGGGAGATGTGTGCTTAGATAAGAAAGGCATTCTTTGTGCAGAAATGGTAAGAGCCAATATTATGGGTACTAAAGAGGCAGTGAGGTAATTGATTTTTAAAGGTCAAAGGAAGTATCAGAAGAGGATCCCTTGGTTAAATAAGTTGCAGAGTGTCTTTTTAATAGTCACTACTACTCAATATAAATCCTTATTTGTGGATGTAAATGTTCATTGGCGGGAAGGTAATTTATTTATACGGTTTGATTAACATCTCGTAAAAATTATTAGAATAGGTCTAACGAGTCAATTAAATTATTAAGTAGTAATTATTTTTTTTATCATTTGAGAAGTGTTTAAAATAAGGTGCTTGTATATTTATTTTTCAAAAAAATTATAATGATGTTTGGTAATTTCGTATTATAGGTTGGGTAGGATTGTAGTAAATATAACCATTCGTTTATTAGACGGTTATAAATCTGATATCAATTACAATAATCCAATACAGATTTTGAGTTTAAATCTAAACTTCCAAGATTATTAAACCTAATACATAAATAACCAAAACTTAATCAAACAAAATTTAGGGGACTAAAAAATTAAATGTTAAAAAACAAAAATTGGAAAGAGAGGAAAAGAAAGTACAATCACTGACTTCACGTTGAAACTCAGCCATTCTTCAACACAAAAACCCAGAAATCAAACCTCATTTTCTCTCTTGCTCTCTCTCTAAAACCAAAGCATCAAGTAATATACAACCAAACGATAAAACAATTGAAAAATTAAAACTACCAAAACCCCAAAACAATATAAATAAAATTGGAATGGATTTTTGGAGTTTAATTACAAAAATAAACAAAGATGCTATATATTGTAGTACTTCCTAATGTTTGAGCCAACAAACATCAGTCATTCCTCGAAAAGAAGAAGAAGAAGTAGATGATATGTATGCATTTATATTCATTTTATTTTTTAGGACTCCTTTACATAGTACAATTTGGAGTTACTGATTTCTTCTCCTTATGTTTCATCTGTAGTTCTTTTTTGAGTACATCAGATCTTTTGGTCAGAGATAGTAGATGGTTAAGATTTAGTTGGTGTTTTGGAGGTCAATTGGGAAAGAAGATCAATTTGGAAAGATTAATGTTTGTGGGTTTACGATCTCGTCAGAAAAATTGGCTTAAAGAACCCAAGTAATTGAAGATTAAAAAGTGAGATGAATTGTTGGAGTGATTTTGGATGAATACGCCTCGTTTTTAGGAATTCATAATTTGAGGTTGGATTAGAATTTTTTATGGATTATTACCGGGTTCGTTAAAAGGATCTACAAATCTGACTCAATTGTCCATTGAGTCAAGAGAGCTTCATGGGGTTAAAGGTATCGTTCTCCATTTTTTCTAATCTCAAATTTTCTTGGTACTCTTATGTCAAAGCTCTATGCCATGTAGTGGTGTTTTTTTTTTTTTTTTTTTTTTTGTCTTGTGTTTATATCAAGTTAATTAAGGTGCAGTGGATTAATCAGGGTGTTTAAGTGTTTTCGCCTACTTTAGGGGAGATCGTTTTCTAGTTGTTTTTTTTTTTTTTTTTTTTTTTTTTTTTTTTTTTTTAATTTTTAATTTAATTTGTGTTTTTAATTTTTTTTTTTTTAATTTTTAATTTTTTATTTTTGAGGTTTAATTTGCTTTATAATTTGGATTTGAGTGTCATATGTGAATGAGGTGTTTTAGTTACTAATTGAAGGAAGTATTAGATTTGATATAAACGAAGTATGATTTATAACATAAGGTTTTGGTCAACTTTTGCTATGTAAAGCAGTGCTAATGTCAAATATTCAAGTCAACCAATAAGCACAATCTTAATTGTAAATATTCCTAATATTAAATTCAGACCATATCAATCTAAGATAATAAAATGTTACAATTTTTACTGTTCAGAATCTTTAGGCACATTTTCAAAAATTTCCTTGTAGACGATGCTTTTTGTATAATTTTGTGGCACAGTTCCCTTGTTATCAATGAGTATTCGAAGTCCGTCTCTTGAAGTGACCCTTGATACTGCCACATAAAGTTGTCCATGGCTGAATATGGGTTCTGGTAATTAAAAAGTTGTCTTCCTTAGTGTTTGTCCTTGACTCTTATTTACTGTCACTGCGTAGCATACCTTCACCGGAAATTGCCGCCTCTTGAAAATGAATGGCAATTTAGAGTCAGTAAGGATCATTACTGTCCTTGGGATTATTGCCTTAATTCCTTTACATTTTCCTGCCATTATCTCAGCCACTATCACCCAATTTGCTAAATGTGTGACTATTAGCCTGTCCCGTTGCATAGGCCTTCCTGCTGCTTTAGGTTTCTTAGTAGTATGATAGGAGTGCCTACTTTTAGGTGTAACTCGTGATCTGGAATCCCATTAAACTTCAAGCTGTTTAAGAACTCTATTGGGTAAAGGATATCTTGATCGGCTATATCTCCGGAACTTTTATTTGCATATTGAATCTGAGCTTAGATATGTTTTTGTTTCCCCAGGAAGTGAGTCCATGATGTAATTGTTGATTTCATCCACTGTTGCATTCTTTGGGGTTAAAATGCATCTCTCACATAAATAATCAGGATCCTTATAATAAGTTTGCAAATTTTCATGTCTTTGATACCATTTCTTTTATTGCATCTTCGTTTGGATCTATAATTTAGTCATCAGGTATTTCGATCCATGTGTCCTCATCTTCTCCTTCCATTTTCATCAGTGGTATAGTGCCCTCTCCTGTAGATAGTATCTAATTGCCAAATTCTTCAATTTTCTTCCTGTCTTCTTCGTTGCTGGTCTGTTGTAGTCTCATGTTTCTGTGTAGTGTGTACACCTTGCATTCTTCCCACAATTTTGATCTGCTTATGGTGGCTCCAACTATATCTTCTCTTCTACCTTTTGGCACTGCTGGTAGGATCTGTCTGAAGTCTCCGACTAGTAACACCGTTTTCCCACCAGAGATAGTATTCTCAGCATTCTCATCTGTTATCCGCAATATGTCTCTTAGTGATCTATCAAGTGCCTCAAAACAGTGTTGGTGTGCCATGGGTACTTCGTCCCATATTATGAGCTTTGTTGTGCGTAGCAAATCTGCCAATTGTGTCCCTTGTCGTATGTTACAGGTAGATGAGTTAATCAAGTCTATTGGGATCTCAAATCTCGAGTGTGCTGTCCTTCCTAGAGGTAACAATAGGGATGCGATTCCAGAAGATGCTACTGCGAGTACTATTTCTCCTTCAGATCTTAACCTTGATATTATCGTCCGGTAAAGATAGGTCTTTCTTGTACCACCATGCTCATACACAAAATAAAATCCTCCTTTTTGCTTCTTAACCGCTTCGACTACTTCGTTATATATTAGCTTTTGCTCCTCGTTTAGCCCTTTACTCAATAGTCCATGCTCGGTTGCTAATTCTTCTCTGTCCAAGTATAGTTGTTTGGCTATGAGTCTGTTATTGGATGTTTCCACTAAGTTTTCGTGCGGTGAAGGTAAAGGTGGATAATCTCTTAGTGTTTTCCATAAGTCAGCAATATTTTTTCAATCTCTAAAAGGGCATAGTTCTTCTACTGATTTTCAGACAATTGTAGTTCAAAGTAGCCTAATTGCTTCCTTTGTATGTATAAGACATCATCTGAGAGTATTGTCCAGTTGTTCCCCCACAATTGTAAAGGTTCACACACTTCACAAAATAGTAGCATTGTGACAAAAAGTTGGCGTAGTTGTGCTGAGTTTGCCCATAGAGATGCCTCACGACTTGCATCATTCCACTCCTTATCTCCCTCTAGCATTCCCCGAGCATAACACGCAGGTGTGCGATAATTAATGTCGTATTGGTAAATCCTCCACACAGCTTCGCATGCTGATACGTAGCGACAATTTAGATAGGCCTTGACTTTATCCATTTTGTCTTCAACTAAGAATGTTCCTCTATTTGGACCCTTGTGTATGTACTTGAATAAGTACTTGATGGCCCGACTTTTGTTGCACCATTCTACATTAATATGTTCCTGGTATTTAACAATCAAGTCTATATTGTGTGGTACGATATCACGGTTGTCGCATTGAATTCTACCCTTAATTAGTGTGGGGTCGTTGTCCCTTCTTCTGTAGACAGGGAAGCCATTATCATCTATGGTTGTTTCCTTGTTGAATTGTTTAGGGTAATGCTTTGAGAATTTTCCCTTGATCATGCATGGGGCTGTTTTCCTTGCTTCTTCGCATGGTCTGTGAGTCATAAAATTTGATACTGCTGCATGTGCGTTTGGCTGTAGTTGTTCATCAGGTATTTCAGCCGAAATAATCCGATATATGTCCGTTGGGCTAGGAAACTTGTAGTCTGAGTGAAGGAATAGTATAATGTGAGCATGTGGGAGTCCTCTTTTTTGAAATTCAATTGTGTAGAGAGCTGTGAATCAAAGATAAACAAACATTAGTAATAAGCTTAATATCATCATCATCATCATAAATTTTTTAATTTGAAACACATCATCATTATCATTAATTGATTAAGCTTCATTTTGATATCATCATTATTAGTTTCTGATTAAGCTTCATTTTGATATCATCATTATTAGTTTCTAGCTTACCTGCCAAAACTTTCCCAAAGTGATTTTTTTCGTGTCAAGTCTCTCATTAGTTGATTTAGCTTAATTTTGAATACACGGACGATTATGTCAGGTCTTTCTTCTGCTTTTTATCCAGGCATATTGTCCAACATTTTTTGTATCTCAGGCCACTTTGGATTTGCGGTGAAGGTGATGAATAGGTCTGGGTTTCCGTAAACCCTGCAAATAGCCATAGCATCTTCGTAGTTTTTTACCTTGTATCTTGGTCCATCCGTGAAACTGGAGGGTAGTACAACACTTTTTCCAACTGATATTGGGTCGTTATCTACCCTTGCTACTGCATCTTTTAGCCCTTCATATAGTTCACTCCTTAGTTTTGTCTGATTGTTTCGTACAACCTTAGCCTTTCTTCTTCTACGCATGTGTATGCGTCTACGTAAAATTGAAGGAGTAAACGTCCTCTCCATAGTAAGATGGATTCATCATTTATTCGTTGTTGAATCAGATAACAATTGTATTCACACATAGTTACGAATTTCCTCTTTCTGTCCTGTTTTCCTCCTTGTCTATACTTTATGTCGGTTTGATATCCATCTTCCCCATAAGGAAATAGAAGTGGAAATTGCATTGCCATATAGCTTGGATGTAACTCAATGATTCTTTGCAAGCCTTCAGTTTTGTGTTCTATGATTATATCACGATGACCAATAGTATCCTCATAGTCACCCACTATAAGAGCTGCAACTTCAGAAGCACTTGGCATGTTGTATTGTCTTGCGTCTTTAGAACGATTTCCTATCAGCTGTACCCGAATTGGGATGAAATCATCTTCTCTGAAACGATATCTTGCCATCCGAAAAGCTTTTGCAAGTTCGTTGTTTTCATCTAGCATTTCCAGTAGATCCTGAACTATCTTAGGGTCCAATTTTTGTTGAGGTTCTCCAAGATTAATGGCATTTAGTCTATTCTCAACTTCATTCTCTGTATCATATATGTACTGTATAACTGTAAACTTAGGTTGGTTTCCATCAATCGGGAGTAGCGACCCAATTTTGTGGTGGTTTTGCCCACTAATTCGAAATGCATAAGGTCCTTTGCCATTGTTTATGTCCTTATCAATCTTGCCACTCATTGATTTAAATGCGAAGATGGAATTATATACTCTTACGTTGTCACGAAAATTTTGAGACTCTCTATCACCGTTAGGGTGCATAAGCTTCTCCAGAACATGCGGGGCTCTTTTAAGGGGAGGTAATATCACCCGACCATCTTGACAATAATATCTGTAACTTGGGTCTTTTGCATTTTTTTCTTTTTCTACACATTCTTCCAACCTAAATAATGCTCCACAATGTTTACATGTATGGATGGGGTTGTTATTCTCTGATTGTGCCAAAACTTCTAGACTGTGCAGCGAGCTCGTAGCATTGCTATCTTGATTTAAATTTCTCGCTGTGTTTCGACGTTGTCTAAGTATCTTCATTCTTTCCATTCTTGCTCTTTTGTAATTTGATGTGCGTATGGCTGTATAAAATTTCAGTGGTTAATTTTTTTTTTTTTATTTAAAAAGAGATTCTTATTTTGTTTTGAATCATTTGTTATATGATACTTACAGCTTTGTGTATCGAAAGGTTCATTTAAACTTTGTGGCTCAACATGAATTGAAGATGTAATGCATGTGTTTGCTTTTGTGAATTGATTCTCTTGCACCATATTCATTCTCTCAAGCCTTGCTCTTTTGTGATTTCTGGTGTTGTCTCCTGCAAAATAGGCAAAGAGTATTTTTCGAACCTCAAAATATTATACTTTATGATAAATTCCTTATTACATTGATACCTACCACTGTGTACAGTTGAAGAATGATTTGAGTGTGCTCTTTTGTGACAGTTTGTACTCTGCATTGCATCATATCTAAAAGTTTTTTGAGATAAATTTAAGTATGTTTGATGCTTCTTTTCAGATAAAATTAATCGTCTGTGTTGCCTTGTAGCCCTTGCATCATCTTGTTTTTCACTGTAAAAATTAGTGATGATGGATTGTTATTGTTTCAAATCATGTTAATTTTAATTTATTTTTTTTAATTTTTTTTTTTAATTTTTTTTTTTTTTTTTGAAGGCAATCATGTTAATTTCATTAAATAGATTTAATTTGTAAAGTGTACGTTAGATGCCAGTGGACCGAGCAACTTATTGATTTTGTTGATTACTCTTTCATTACACCTATTTTATTGCATATGGTTTATTCTGTTAAAAGACATGTATCTTTATGTTTCAGGTAATGGAAGCTCCTAGGGTCTGGAAAATTTTATAATGCTACAGCAATGTTAATAAGGGTAAACATGTTAATGGGGTCCATATATGGTTCATTTATGATTCTTGGGGTGTTTATTTCTGTAATTTTATTTTTAAACCTTAAAAATAAAAGGTTAGGGTGGCGTGCAATGTAGGAAATTAGGAAGGATATTCTTTCACCCCACTTGGCAGGGAATAATAATTTTTAGTATTAGTAAAATTCTTTTTGAGGTTAATTGATTGATTAGTGCACTATGCCTATTGTTATTGCATTATGAAAATAGATAATTAAATATTAGGCTTTAATCATTAAACTCACGATTGAAATTCTAGTTGATCTTTTCATGTGAATCTGAACGCGAATTCACTCTTGTTTCTGAATTTAAACTGTAAAGTGTACTATAATTATACACAAGTATTGGAAAATACCTCATTCTCTTGTTAGGTTTTTCAATGTAGACTTGAATTACTGCAAAAGAATAATTTATATAAGAAACTAATGAACTTATCGTAAAAAGGTTGATTCATGTATGCTTTTTGTGTTTTTAAAAAATTAACAGTCATACCTGCTTATGAAATGTTTGCGTAGAAATCGATCGTCTAAGAGTGCTTCTGTCTGTTCGTGTGTAGAATTGAATGTTAATAAGTGACATTGAGTATAGGTGAGGTTAGAGGGTTTATATAAACATCATTATGTTTCCTCGTATGAATAGAATTCTTATATTAGTTGGATTTAATTAGTTTCCTCGTGTGAATAGGATTCTTATATTAGTTGGATTTAATTAGTTTCATCGTGTGATTAGAATTCTTATATTAGTTGGATTATAATATATAATATAAAAATTCTATATGGATTAGGATTGATTTTAGTTTGAAATAATATTTGTCGTTTTAGTATAATTTTTCCCTATCACCTTTTTTGTAACAATTTTTGATATATTTTTTTAACTGTAATATTTCTTTATTATTTTTTCATTTATTTTATGTCATAATTTGTAAATTAATATTATTGTTTGATGTTTTTGATACAGAATTCAAAAAATAAACATTCTTTGAAATGTCTTCTAAAATAGCTTGCCATTGTTTGGTTTCATACGATATCGTAGAAAAGGAAAATGGGAATGGAAAGCAGAGGGTGGATGGGAGCCTAAGAGGAGAGATGAAGGAAGATAAAGAGTAGGGAGGAATTTTTGGAATTTTTTCAACCCGATACAAAAATAATGTTATAAGGAGTAATTGCAATCTAGGCACATTTTAAAGCTCATTATCTTGAATTCTTGCAATTATAATTTAGTGGTGGAAATATATTGTATGCAGCTTTATAAAAGCTAAGGTGCTAGAAAAGAATTAATACTCCTAATCTTATGAAAAAAGGTATGAAATAAATTAAAGGGGTCGGGTGGTAGACTTCATAGTAATCGTATGTATGTATGTGGTTTGATGCTCTAAACAAGAGAAAATCAATTTCAGAAGAAGAAAGTAGAAGACGAAGAAGAGAGAGAAAATCAGGATATCTCAAGTATAGCTTCCACTCACCGTCAAATAGGATGTCAAACTCAGTTAACTCGATCAATAACTTTATATTATAATAATAATATCTTTATATATTATTTAATAACTTTTCAATCTTATTGACCATCATGACATGTCGCCTATGTGGCACGACACTTGGCGAAAAGTTGGAACGCCAAGTGTCGTAGTCTCGTGACCTGGCTAAAAGTTTAGCGTTATATATTAGTTACTAGTTTTGTGTTCGGGCGATGCCCACATTGTTGATAAAATTTCAGTATAAACTTTTTTACTTGAATGTTAAATACGGTCTTACAATACCTTTTGATAACGTAGGATATTTAGACAAGCGATGTCATATCGCTTATTTAATTAAATAATAGTGTACTTTTTGTAGTTTTGTTTGCGAATATCTATGTTATTATTGATTTGAATATACTTTTATATAACTTAATTTTTTTTTTTACTAATTCTCTATTATTTTTTTAAATAAATGTATATTATAAATAGATCTTATTTAAAAGAACTTAAAACGAATTTTATGATGGAAATAGAATTGAGTTATATAATATTTATTAAAAGTAATGATTAATTTTGCATATATGAAGTATTAGAATTATATTGATAATAAAATTCTATACAACATTTTTATCTTTAAAAAACTATCCAAAATTCATTTACTTAATATCATATGTGTCACAATAATATCTATTTTTCGCCTACGTGGCGTGACACTTGGTGAATAACTGGAATGCCAATTGTTACTGTCTCGTAGCCTAGCTGTAAAACCGGCTTTATATATTAGTGATATATGATATGATATGATGAATTTTTCTCCAAACTAAGCCCAATTGACAAAATAAATACCAAAATGGTTGCGTGGCAAAAGTATTTACCAAACTAAGCTTTCAGGGTAAAACGCTGTCTCGGACAACGTTTTATGCCCTTTTTTTTTTTTTTTATTTATAAAAAATTCAATTTAAAAATGTTGTCTGGGACAACATTTTTAGATGTTGACTTTTTAAATAAAATTTAATAAACACATAAAACGCTGTCTGAAACAGCGTCTTATGTACAACATAAAACGCTTTCTGGGACAACGTTTCTCTGTTGGTCTGCAGCACCAACAACCAGCAGCCTTTATTCGCTAATTTCTGCCTTGCTTCTCTAATTTCTGCCCCAACACAACACCCCTGCCTTGATTAAGCCACCACGGTCAACCACCACCCCCACCACCAACCCCCATCGTCAACCACCACCTTCCGCCACTTTCGACCACCCTTATGCACTTCAAAACAGTCCAACTACCCCCAACAACACTTCAACCACCTTCACCACCAGCCCCAACCTTTTCACCACCGTCGACCACCACCCACCACAACCAATAGCACTAAAACCACCATGAACCACCACATTAACCACCACGGGCCATCGCTTCTACCCCGTTTCTGATTATGGATCCCAAATGTCTGCTGTTTGATATATGTCGGTCTAGAAGGATTTGTTTTGACTGACATAAGTCCGATTTGGATAAATAAGGAAACTAAACTTCAAACTACACACAAATTCATTCAACTAACATGTATTATATTAATAATGTAATCGTTATATACATCATTCTAGAAAATGTTTGTCTACAACAAATAAATCATACAATACTATCCCGACTCATCAATTCGGGCTAAAGGTTCCCTAGCCTGACTGTCGTCCCTCCGTCTACGACGCCGACTGTAATGAGTAATGGTGGTGAATGGGTCTCAGGGCGGTGGGGGAGTGAGCTGGCTGGACAATGTGTCCTCCTGGGTCTCGGTGGGCGCAATATTGTGGATGATGTACTCCTCTGCGTCCATGGGTGTCGTAGGATCACCTCCACCGCTACTCTGGCCGGGGTCGAACTGTGAATGGAAGGAGTGGCCATCTTGACCGTCCCGCTGGTGGACGAGATAACCGTGACCATGTCTCTGTAAAGAAGTCACGGACATATCTCGCATCCGCTCGACCGGGGCTCTAGTGGGTCCGTCTGCAAGGGCGAGCGACAGTGCATCAAACATCGCCACCATATCTGCCGCCTGCAGTAATCATCGATCAGTCAGTTACATGATGTATGAAAAAATAAAAAATGAGGACGATAAGTAGAATAAAAGAAACTCACATATCCGCTAATGATGTCATATGCTGGATGGTAATGAGTGGACGGTGGTGTGTAGCTGGGGTTGATGAACGGCGTGTAATACGCCTGTACCACACCGTGTACGGATCGTGAGGATCCATAACGCCCTGCATCGGATCACCTCGAACGACATAATCCAACCGTTGTTGCCACAGCTGAAGGAATTGCCAATGCTCCAGTGACCAGTTTATCTCCCCCTTTCCCCGCTGGTCAATGCCGTGAAGGCGTACACTAGTGTCACAATGCTGGGGAATAGGCTGGCGTAGTCCTAACTGTCGCATGACGCGGTCGGGTAGGTGACTCTCCACAACCTCGAAACAAATCAGGGGGACCCTGGCACGCCACTCTGCTTGATGATCTAGTAGATGTGCAGGCATGACATCTACCAACTCCGGTACATACAGATCCCAGGTGATCTGCAATAACACATCAAAATGAATATTTTAATTAAGTTAGTCCACATACAGTACACACTGTACATAATTGTTTACAAATATCTTAAAAGTTTCCACCTGATGCTCAGTGAGTCGATCAAGGGCGTCTCGGTAGTACGGAAGACTCGTCGCCGCATGAGTCTATGTGAGTCTGGGGACCACCCACTTATGGCAACAAAGTTGTTTTGTTTGTTAGCAAAATGAAACCGTATGGGGGCAAAAAAGAATGACAAATGTTACAAACCTACAACCGTATGCTTCATCAGTTGCAGGAAGCGGTGGAGCGATGTTTTAAGGGTCATAGTGGTCATCTCAGTTATGCTGCCCCCGACGATGCACAACAGGCCTACCTGGTCTTCCTACTTGGATGTGCTTCCAAGCCCATAATTGCAATAGCAAAAATACAAAACTATGTTAAGTATGAAGTTAGTCATTGCCTAAATAACTTGTGAAAAATTAGGTTGGTTACCTGAAGCATGATCAGGGTCCACCGATCTCGAGTGCATCACTCTGTGAGGCTTTACACAGGTGGCGATACAACATCGCCAAACAAGCACTACCCCAGCTGTATCCACGGATATGATCCCAGTCGTGGTTTAACAGCTGTAGGTAAATAAGCTGCATATGGCTCCCGCTCTTGTTCCCGAACAACACGCCGGATATGAGCAGGAACAAGTATGCTCAAGCGTATCTCTCAACTATGACGTCATCAGCGTCCGTAGGCATGGCAAGGAAAGTATCTCGTAACCAGCCGGTCCTCAACCCGGAAACTATTATCAACATTAACAATATTAACACTACCAATATCAACACTAATAATTCAACAATTACCAACAATAACAATTCAACAATACCAACACTAACAATTCAACGTTATTAACACTAACAACTCAACATTATCAAGATTTTAACCACAATTCCAAAAAATTAGAAACCACCAACATAAACCCTAGAATTTAAAAAACAAAGAGAGATTGAGTAAATACCAATTTCGGGGTGAGGGGAGGCTAGGTTTAGTGGGCTTCCGGCGTTCGGTCGTCGGAGTGCGACGGTGGAGGTGGCGGCGGTGGCCTTAACGGAGGAGCACAAGTATGAGAGAGAGAGGGATTAAGTTAGGGAGTTTGGGAATGAAGAAGGGAGGAAACGCTGCCTGTTGCTGCCTGGTATATGGGTGTTGCAAAAAAATAAAAACGCAAGAATCGCTGTCTTAGACAGCGTTTATTGTTTAACAGTAAACGCTGTCTCATACAACGTTTATTGTTGCAAAAATTTTTTTACAAACTGGTAATTACAAAATTTTAAAAAAAATAAAGTCAAACGGTAAAACGTTGTCCCAGACAACGTTTTACAAATTGATTTTTTTTTTTAAAAACCAGGGCATAAAACACTGTCCGAGATAGCGTTTTATCCCTGAAACTTAGTTTGGTAACTACTTTTGCCACGCAACCATTTTCGTAAATATTTTTTGCAAATATGGCTTAATTTGGAAAAACGTCCTGATATGATAGGAGTAGGCGCAACTTTATTTACGACAATTCCACGGCTAACTCGTAGCTTAAGAGTTAAGACCCACGTACTTTTGAGTGTTTTGACTTGTCTTACTTACTTCTGTCTATCTCCTACTAGATTCAAGATTCCCTAATTTCATTATTTTGCTCTAATTTTTTATTTATTTTATTTTATTTTTTTATAAACCCTAGGATGTAATAGCAAGTTAAGACTTGCAAGTTGCAATTGCAACCACAATTTTTAATTTTATCAATCTGGGTTTTGCCTTTTCATTTAGCTTAGTTTTTTTAAAATAAATTTGGCCCACAATTAGATTTGATTGCTCCCAAATGAATTTTTTTATAAATCTGCCATCGAGTTTAACTAGCTGATTACGTTAAGTAAATAATTGTTATTTGTTAATCTCTCTGTTTCATAATGTTAGTCCTATATATTATTTTGGACATTTCAAAAAAATCTACCCATATTGAATATGTTCAATTTTTAACTTAATTTTTTTGAAGTTAATTGATTGTGAATTGATGACATGGCTCTAAGTAAGGAAATCTCTACCTTAAATTATATATTATGACTTATACTTTTCTCAAAAAAAAATTTAAAAAACTTAAATAAGGTAAACTAATTATGAATTATTTTGTACTTCATGTTAGATTCCAAGTATTATTCTTTTCTTATTTTATGTGATTGATTCTATATGAGACTAACATTATAAAGCGGAGGGAGTATTTATTTTAGTGTATGTAATATTTTAAAAAACTCTTAAGTTCAATAAGATAATTGCAAAATTTTCCTATTATGAGGTTTTTCAAAAGGAGAAAAGTTATTTCAATAAATTATTCACCAAATTCCCAAATTAGCTTATTCAAAATGGTAAAATAATTAATAGGCCTCAATAAACTTAAAACACTTTAACAAATAAGGGCAATATTCTCATTATTGTCATCACCGCAAAATTCTACATACCCCCAAGTTTTCATCACTCATTAGGAAAATGTATAGGCCTTAGCCTAAATCGACACATTGTTATAAAATTGTGACCGCGTGTTCATAAGAAACGCTTTATACTCTATATATTTGGCAAATTATAAAGCTTGATTTCATGAATAAATTATGATAAAAATTGAAATAAAAGGCTCCCTTACCTAAACTCATCATCATATAATCATAAAAATTTGAATTGACAAATTTAGAAATGTTTCATATAACTTATTAATAAGTGTATGTAGCCATGTTTTGCATAAACTTATTATTACTCCGTTATTTAGTAAAGTTCAGATAATTAATAAACTACAGAGATATTCCAAAAATCTAAAAACAAGTTCTAGCTAACTAAACTATGGGGAATATACAATTTCTTTCGATATAGAACGTCGATCGGGTACGTAGCTAGCTTAATGAAGGGCGTTACGAAGAGTTGTAGCAAAATCTCTTACATTCTTCTTGAATCCCCCTTCCATCTGCAAAAATGAATGTAACGACGTAGGAAAAATTCATTAATTATAATTCAACAAAAACAATTCATCAAGATAAGAAAATGCATTTTAGTCTATAAGGGGTACGATGAATTACCTGCGCAACAATGGTAATGTTTAAGGCTAAGTTCTCAAATGGTATAACACTAAAATTAGTAATGACCAAATGATGCTTGTCTATCTCGGCTAATAACTTGGCCAATATCTCCTTTCTTTTTTCACAATAGATTCTTAAGAGAACTGTCTTCCCCAGTACTTTAACGTCAATTTCTGAAAATGTTTCACTACCATTACTATTACCTCCATCATCATCGCTACTACCGTGTCCACAATAGTCCTCCATAGTCGATGAAGAAGAGACATTATCATCTACAATGCCCTTGACAAGTACCACAGACTCCACAGTCCTTTTTGCGACCTCATTTTCAATTACCTTTACTTTCTCTTGAAGTTCCTTCATATGTTTGATTGCCTCCCCTAAGATCGATATTTTATCTATCTGTATAACCATTATCACAACTTATATTTCACTCTTTAAATCTTTTTTCAAATCAAACATAAACACAATGGAAAAATAAATACAAAAAAGGCAATAGAGCAACATATTATATTGTTTCTCTAGGTCACTTCATGCAGGCGCACCATGGTCAATTGATCCTTTCTTAGATAGTAATTTTTTTTTTTTTATTCATTCTGATAAGTTAGCTTGTAGTTTTGAGAGAAGACTGTCCTACCTTCTTGTGTATCTTTCCTCTTTAAAAAAACAATAAAATAAAAAAATTTGTGCACGCACCTTCTTAAGGCCAGGAACGATGGCAGAGAGCGAAATGAACATCTGGCTAAGTAATTCCCGGCGCTTCCTCTCGGCGATAATGTGATCTTGCACTTGGCTTGGCTGTCGTTTCCTCTTTGGGCCATCACTCACTGCTTGCTTCTTCGTCTTTTGCTTAGTTTTAGACAGTTGGCTCTCTTGAACATCGGAGCTTGCAATGTTATCTCTGTCATTTTTGTTATTGTTATCGTCGTGGTTTTCACTGAGATCGGAAATAGGAGGGGTTGACATATATTGTTCAATGACATCACACTCAATATCTCCTTGAGGAGAGGCCGTGTCGAAAAATGTAGCAGCAAGTTGTTCGTCAAAAGTTGATTCCATATCCATTACACTTTGGTAATAAGGGTTGATTAAACTATCAATTGAATCCATATCAATTTCCTACATCAACCAATTAGTACAATGGATCAGTTTATTAATTACAAAATTAATTTCAATGAGCAAAAGATTAAGAAGGATACATATTTGTAAGAAAAAAGTGGAGATAATTTTTTTTTTTTTTTTTTACTAAAGTAGAAATAATATTAGTTTAGTCTAAATATTTACTTTTATAATACTACTTGTAACTTTTTCATAATTTATGTTTATAATCGATTTAAATACCGACGTTTAACAATAAGACGGTGCAAAATAGATATATTCACATTATTTAAATAAAAGGATTAAAAAATAACTTCACAAATATTAAGAAAACAAAATTCTTCACTCCACCAAATGTAATTGTACATTATATTACTGTTTCAAATTACATTAGAAGACAGAGCGATATTCGACGTAAACATTACAAATAATTTATTAATGATCGAAGTAATCTGGAGTTGTATATTGAGTTCTTACCAATTCTGCTAACCATGCATCCATAGTCATGGTCGAAGTCATTGTTCCCTCTTCTTAGCAATTCAAGTAGGACGACAAAAAGGAGTATATGAATGCTATTATACTGATAGATTTGTTATTTGAGAGAGATTTGAAAAGTATTGTTGTTAAGTTTTCAGTCTTTAGAGTTCCCTCATTTATATAGAGGGATGTTACCAACTTCACGTGTTTTCCCAACACCCCCCCTTTTTTTTTTACTATCTCTTCATTTTTTATTCTTTATGATTTGATTTTTACGGTTTTCAATAAACATCTTCAATCATGAATACATTCAATAAGATGTGAGTAAGAAATACACCAATTTTTATATATGGCTGGCTACATTGTGTGGCCAGCTATCATGGGAGTTACTTCGTTAGTGTTGTAGGGGTTACTTGGTTAGTGTTATAGGGGTTAATCGGTCAGTGTTATAGAGGTTATTTTGTTCTTTTACAAATAGTCACATGGTGTGGCTTGCGATACGCAAAACGCGATGTAAGAAATAAGGATTTTAAATAATTTCTGAATATATATTTTAAGCTGAATCTAACAAGATTCCACATAATATAATTTTGATGTTTATATTGTAGTGAGTTTTTATAGTCAAAGTTTTAAAAAGTTGACCATAAAAATCGTTGTATAGAAAAATAAAATGAATGGAGCTGAGAGAGTAATAATATATTATTTGGAATAAGACAGTACATGATTCACTTTACTCCCCCTCATTCCCATAATAGAATGATTGTATTACATTTTGGGTGTCAAAATAATTGTGCTCATCTAAAGTCTCTCTTTTTTAATCATATAATTTAAAATAACTTTGCCAATTGCCATTATAACACATATGGTAATATGTTAATATTTAATACCAACCTTGCAATAGTTGGATTAGGTTCGGATTGACTTGTTTATATAATTGGGTCAGCACCCCTAAACCTAACCCAACTTGCATTGTTTATGTAAACGTGCTAAAAATTCAAACTCGAACTTGACCGGTTATAATCAAATCAGTTAGAACTCGACCCGTGTAGTCCGATAAATTTTAAAGCTTGTTTTTTGGTCTAAAAAATAAGAGAGCTGATGTTGACCAGATAAATTAATATCCACATTAATAGAAAATACACTCAATAAGCACGGTGTTCTTAAAAATTTAAACATTTATAACTTATTTTCAACACAAATTAATATATTTTGACATTTAGGAAGTCCGAAAGAGAGAGAAGATGAAAGAAAACAACAAAGAAAATGAAAGAAAGGTTAACACTTAACTATGTTCATTTCACCTTATTTTTACTGATCTGAAATCATTTTTATCGAATTGTTATTATTTTTGTTGAAATTGAACAATTTTTAATAATTCACTATCATATTAAGTTACTGATTTTTACTGATTAAAACCTATTTTTATTATATTGAACTTTAATTTTTTTACTGAATAAGAAAGGAAAAAAAAAATGCCTCTTAGGTTGTTGGGGTTAGATTGAAGAGAAGAGGTTTGGAAGACTATATTGGTTTATTTTCAGGTTGGGTTTAGGTTAACCCAATCACATAAACGAGTTGAAAATCTCAAATAAAACCTGTTTATTTCTGGTTTGATTCAGGCGGGTTGCTGAGTTAGACCAACTTTTTGTGGCCCTACTTGTTCTTCTCCCTCCATTTCAGATTAATCACATCCACTCTGTTTGGACTAAACGCTTCAATAAGCTTAACACTCTGTTTGCTGAGTTAGGTGGGAATGTGGGATCAATGTGAGAATTTTAAATATAAAGATTATAAACTATCAATAAGCATAACACGTAGTTTAAAAATTAATATAGGTGGGAATGTGGGATCAATGTGAGGATTTTAAATATAAAGATTATAAACTATAATTGGTGCTTAGTATATAGTTTGTAATGTAAGTGAAATTACGGAGAAAAGAAATAATAAAAGGGTAATGTTATATGCACAAATAAACATTTAATATCTTTTTTAATTTAATATTAATTTAGGAATACATAACAAAATCACGCGCAAATCAGTGTAATTAATATTATTTTTTCATTATTTTTTCATTTTTAGCTTTTTATAGATAGTCCTTAGAGCCATGTGTAACATTTTCCATAATAAAATAACAAAATTCTCTTATCATATACGGTAAAAAAGTGTCGCAATTAATTAGAAACAATTAAAATGAAAAGTGTTGCAATTAATCTGAAATATAACTACGCATTTTTTTAATCTACCGAAAACTGTGCCATAATAAAAATGAACGTTAACATGTTTTTGTGCTTTTTACACCATTTTATCTTTTCCCATTTATTCAAATCGCTACGTTCTCTATTGTCCTAAAAAAAGTCTTGCCAAAAAGAGTAAGATTGCTCCTTTTTTATTTGAGTAATGATTGAACAATAATTGCTTTTCAAGAAATCTCCTTTCCGTCATTATTCACGTGATCTTTTCAAAAATATTACTCGTAGAATTGTTATACTCGTAGTTTTTTATTATATATATATATATATATATATATATATATATATATATATATATATATATATATATATATATATATATTATGTTTTTAATTTTACGGCTTCAATATATGATTTCTTGTTCTCTCTCTTGTCAAAAATATTCACGTGATAATTTTTTTTTTTTTCAATTTTTTTATATTTTGAAAGAAAAAAAAAAAGAAACAAGAAAAAAAGTGTTTTTATTTTTTAGTTGTTAATTTTCAAATTATCATGATTTTCATAAATTTGACCATTTTTAATTCATATGACATATATAATATTATTTTGATAAACAAAAAACCAATAAACAGAAAATTACAACAATACCAAATGATATTTTGAATAATACGAGTATTTCAAGTTGAATTTAACAAAATTTCATAATATGAGTTCACGCACTATACAATTAGTGGCTATGTTATAAATGCAGTTTCATATTTGGCTGGCCACATCGGGGTTAATTGGTTAGGGGTTAGTCGGTCAGAGATTACTTGGTCAAGGGTTACTCAATCAGTCAGGGGTTACCTAATCGATTAGGGTTACTCGATCAGTCAGGGTAACCCGGTTTAGGGGTTACTCGTGTGTCAGCCGGCCAATGTGGCCAGCCAAACAGAAAATGCTCTATTGTGTAATTATGCGAACCTATTTTTCTAAATATTTGGTCATTTTGAGACAAAAATAAGCAAATTTTGGGTAGCTACAAAAAGTCTCATTTTGCAAAAATGAAGACTCAAATCTGTTCAATTTAATCAATTAATTGGAAAACTAATTACCATATTATACATCAACAACCACCATTGTCAAGAAATCAAAGTTCAAGTTGTTAATTTCAATGATGAGAATCGATTTTAAAATTTCTTAGAATCAGGAGAAAAACTGTAACTATATTTTTGGTTTAAATGTTTTGTTTTGGATGTGAGAATTATAGTTTGGGAAAAAAATAATTGGGATTATTAGTTGACAATGTAAAGTATTTTTGTTCATTTCTTAAAAAGAATTTTTTTTTTAATCATTTGTGCAAATTAGTAAATTATGAACATATGTAAATTCTTATACAATGCAATCGATTTTATAATAATTATTACATATTTGGCTAGTTTACTCAAACAATGCCTAAAAAGGATTTATACTTAAAAAATAATTGATAATACTAATGGTAATTACTCTACCTTATAAAGTAATTGATTTTCTCTTTATTTCTCTAATGTGGGACACTTACAACCGTCACAATTCACAAATAGACTATAACGAGGTTTTCCTCAAAGCCACCATCATGACGATTTCCGTTGCTTACCTTCGACGGCAAGATTATTCATTCATTTTAGTTTTGTCTTTATCCCCTTCGTAATTATTCACAAGTTAATGTATAAGTACCTTTTCCTTTTCTTTGACTTTGGGCAAAGACGACAAAGAAGGCCAACCTAACCCACCTTTTACTTTCACACCCAGCCAATACAATTCAAGAATGAAATAATCCGTACCAATTATTCTTGATTAAAGAGAGAAACAATTATGGAAATTGGGTGAAGTTATTTGAGATCTATTGTCATTCCTACAATGTTATTAATGGTTTCCAATATGCCATCTCTAAGGTTTTTAATTAAATTTTAGATTAAACTTTTTGGTAATTGGTATGAATGCCAAATCTTTTTAACACATAAGAGTATCATCATACTTTATAAGAAATTAAGAACCATATACTCCGTAATCCCTTGCAACTTTTAAAATAAGGAACACAACTTTTATAATAAGGTGAGTGTAAAATAAATACTGTATACCAGATGTAAAATTAGGTTGAATAGTTTGCATATTTTCTTATAATAAGTAGACCTGGCAAATTGGTCATTCGGGTCGGATCTGGGTCGGGTCATTTTCGGGTCAGCTAATATTTGGGTCGGGTATGGGTCGGGTCGATTCGGGTTTCGGGTCAACTTCGGGTCATGTGTCGTGTCAAGTTCGGGTCGGGTCAATTTCGGGTCAAGTATGTTCGGGTCAGGTCAAAATCTGGTCGGGTCATGTTCGGGTTGTTTTATTTGTGAATCAAGCTCAAATGGATAATTTTATACGGAGTATATATTTTGTTATTGTTATAATAAAAACTATCAATTTAGTTTATGAGCTTAGCTACGGTTGAAGATGAACGATTTGAGTTACTTTTGTAAAAGATATTTTAAGTTCAATTATAAGGTAATTTTTAGTTCGGGACATGTCGGATATCGGGTCTATTCGGGTCAATTTTGGGTATCAGGTCTGTTCGGGTCAAACACTTCGGATCGGGTCAGTTCGGGTGTCGGGTCAGATTCGGGTCAACTCCATTTTCGGGTCGGGTATGGGTCGGGTCGGGTCAATTTCGGGTCATTCGGGTCAGGTCATCGGGTCTGGGTCAGAATTGCCAGGTCTAATAATAAGTAGATAAAGTTTTTTTTTTTTTTTAAAAAGTATTCCCTCTGTTTTTTTATTTATTTATTTTTTAAAATCAATCACTTTCCTTTTTATAAGTGTTTTTTTTTAAAAGCATTACTTTTATATTTGGTAACTTTATACTTTCTCCGTCCCACATTATAGTTCCTGTTTTCCTATTTTAAAGAGCTGCAACATTGTTCCTTTTTTATTTTTGGATAGTATATAAAGACTTTTATACGCTATTTTTTTAAACTTTATTCATTAAACTTTCTAAATTACCCTTGAATTTTCTACTTGCCTAAATTACCCTAAAATATACTTCTAGTACTTTTGTTTATAATTATACTTTAACTTTTTTAATGTAGTTCATCCACTTTCTCCTCCCATTTCTTAAATACCGTGAAAAAACACAAACAAAAATTATGAACTCGGACGGAGGGAGTATTATATTTTATCAATTTCTCTCTCTTAGTTTAAACCCCATTTTAATTATTTTACTCCGTATTATTTCTCTCTCTCCCATGGTCTTCACTTTAAAAATAAAAATATCTACTCTCTTTCATGGTCTCCATCTTATTTTTACTATAATAAATTATTACCCACTTACAATAGTATATTACCTCCTAAAACTCCGCACATCACCAAGTGATGCATTTAAAAAAAAATACGAAAAAAGTAAAAAAATCATCTAGTAAAAGTGACCATATTACAATTTAAAAAATTACTTCCTCCGTTCTTTTTAAAGCTAGAGTTGGGATTACACGGAGTTTTAGGAGGTTCAATAAAATAAGATGTTAAGGGAGTAGATAAGGTAATAAAAAATTGTAAGAAAATATAGTAAGTTATTATTTTATTGAAAAGTAAGGTGGTGTGAGAGGAAATGGGAATCGTTGGAGGAGAGAGAAATAATAAAGTAAAAGTGAGTAGAGACCATTAGTGGTTAAAGATATATTATTAAATTGTAAAGGTTTCTAAAAAAGGAACTCTAGCTTTAAAAAAAATAAAAAGACGAAAATACGAACTCTAACTTTAAAAATAAATAAATAAACGGAGAGAGTATCCCTTAAAATCATAACAAGTTATGTCTACCTAAAAATAAGTTAAATTTAGGAAAATTTCACTTTTGCTACCACTAAAGCACATGCATTTCACTTTTGCTACCCCTTTAAAATTTATTTTTATTTACTACCACACAAAAACACTTTTGTTAAAATTTGCTACCACTTAACGAAATTAGTTAGGGTTCCGTTAAGTTTATTCAAAAAAAAAAAATGTTTAAAAAAAAAAAAAGAAAAACCCAGCCACCACCTTCAACCCGTCAGCCACCCTCCCCCCTCCCTTTCCTCCACCTACACATCCCACCACCTTCAATTGCCAGCCAGCCCCCTCCCCACGCCGGCGCCCAAGTCGCCCGGCGCCGGTGACTCCAATTTCTCTCCCTTTCCTCCACCTACGTAGCCCACCCCCCTCCCTTATCCTCTTCTCGCTGCCCCAACCCCCACCCCGAAACCGGAAAATAGCCCTCCCTCCCCATCCCCCACACCGGAATTGGCCCCTACTTCCCCCTCCCCTTCCCCTACCCAAAACAGCCACCCCTAACTCTTAAACACCAGCCGACACCACCATAAACGAAACCCTAAATCCCATTTAGGGTGGTTTCGGGTTGGTGGTTTAGGATTAGAGGTGCTGGGGAGTGGGGCGACTTGTTCGACGGGAGGAGCAGCAGCAGTAGCGGCGCATTCTGGTGGGGGGAATGGGGAGGGGGTGGTTTCCGGTTCGGGGTGGGGGTCGGGGCAGCAAGAAGGGGAACAAGGAGGGGGGTGGGCTGCGTAGGTGGAGGAAAGGGAGGGGGGTTGGAGTCACCGGCGCCGACGACTTGGGCGCCGGCGGGGGAGGGGGGAGGGGGCTGGTTGGCAATTGAAGGTGGTGGGATGCATAGGTAAAGGAAAGGGAAGGGGGAGGGTGGCTGACGGGTTGAAGGTGGTGGCTGGGTTTTTTTTTTTTTTTTAAAAAAAACATTTTTTTTAAAACATTTTTTTTAATAAACTTAACGGAACCCTAACTAATTCCGTTAAGTGGTAGCAAATTTTAACAAAGGTGTTTTCGTGTGGTAGTAAAATAAAAATAAATTTTAAAGGGGTAGCAAAAGTGAAATGCATGTGTTTTGGTGGTAGCAAAAGTGAAATTATCTTTAAATTTACTCAAATTTGGTTAAAATTAACCTACAACTAGCCGGTCTACAACAAAATTACATCTCAATGTACCCAACCTTTTTGTCAAAAACAACCTTCTAAAAATTTATTTGACAACTTAAAACCTTATAGGGCATTTGCACTTTGTTTGGATTAAAGGAAATTGAGGGAAAGGAAAAGAAGGAAAATGAAGGGATAAATTATCTTTCATTTGGATAACAAATGAGGATGGAAGGGAATTGGAAGGGAGAGAAATAAAGGGATTAAAGTTTAAGAAATTGATCTCTCCAACAATGGAGAGATTTGGAAGGAAAATTCATTTATCTTCCCTCCGTTAGTATGTAGGAAAAGAAATTGGAAATAGAGGTTGGGATAAGACCAATGCCTTGTTTGGTTGTAAATGATACGAAGTAATATGTAAGGAATATAGTACGGAGGGAAAAGAAACAAAAATATCCTCACTAAGATTTTTTATCCCACTCACCCATTATTGGCATTTTATTCGTGTCTTATTCTTTCCAATTCCCATACCCTAATACAATATGGGAATAGAGGCTAATCCCAATCCCATTACAGTACCAAGCTTAATTACCAAACACAAGAAACAAACTAGACCTGTTCAGCAGACTGGGTCTGGGCCGAATGAGCCTCAATTAAATGGAGTGGGTCGGGCTAGGGTCAAGACTCTTCTTAAATGGACCGGGTCAAGACATGGGTTACCAGTAGGGCTGGCAAACCCTGACCCGACATGAAAACCCGATCCGAACCCGACCCGAAGTTACTGAGAGAGACCCGAACCCGACCTGAACCGCACCCGAACAACCCGAATTCGACCCGATTTGACCCAAATTTCATATTTCGTAATAATATTAAGTTTTACACTATTTTTAATAGTTTCTAAGCATAACCCGAAATCGACCCGAAATCTGACCCGAACCCGACCTACTGACCCGAATTGCCACCCCTAGTTATCAGGCACAGCCCAGCCCACCCCATTTAAAATTATCAAGTAAAGCTTAAAGGGCCTTACAGGACCAATTATGTTTAATCAACGTTGAATATTCATCACCTAATTCAATAAGGAACCTCATTGAATATACGAAGTATCCACCTATGATTTAGTTAGGGGTCTTTAAAATTAGTGAAGTATCATTTGCACTGATTACTCCACCTACCCCTTCAATACTTCAAACTCTAGAAACATTTTTTTTCTTCCCCAATTGTATTTAGTAGTTAAAAAAAAAAAAAAAAAAAAAATTTTGATAATAGAGAGGTTGGAGGAAGAACAAATGAGAAGAAAAAGAAAATGAGAGTGACAGCGACAACGACAACGACATGAAGTTAGAGAAGCAGAGGAGAAAGATGATGACCAGGATTTCTAGAGAGAGAAAACGCCGTGATGACGACTGTGAACAATGATGATTTTTTATTGGCCAGCTGAAGCTTCGACAATGGCTTCAATGGGAATTCAGTGTACACTGTCAGTGGAGAGTGAGAGTAAAGCCCGCATAAGAGACTTGACAAAATATAAAGCTTGACCCACTAAGGGCCGCCCCGCGCTCCATTAAAAGCCCGCATAAGATTGACCCTTCTAAAGCCCGCCCCATTTATCAAGTGGACTGGGTCAACCTTGTTTAAAACAGGGCTGGGTCAGGGGCTCAGGGCCTTTAATGGGGGGCCGTCCATCTGTGGAGGTCTAAAACAAACAAGGGAATTGGGATTAAAAGTTCCATTACCACCCTAAACTCCCACATACCAAACACCCCCTTTTTTATTTTTTTTTTGGGTAAGATAAAACATAACCTTACCTTTCAGCTTTGACCCAGAGTGGCAGGAGAGGCAGCATGTGCAACCACAACATAAGATTGTGGTAAAACAGCTTTGACCATAAAATTAACCCCTTTTCTTGAGAGTAAATAAATCTAACCAAACCAAGATTATTCCCTAAAATAAATCATAAATTCATAACCAAAGAATTATTCCCTACTCTTGTTTCAAAAAAAAAAAAAAAAAATTATTCCCTACTTCACCATAAGATTGTAATAAGTTGTTCATTATTTACAAACTTTGCCTTGCATATTAAATTATATATTCAGTAATCAGTAGTATGCCAAGACTTCGACAACTAAAGGCCTCTTCCTCTTACGTTTTATAAATGTCATCTATATTCTATTACAGAAATCATACGTATAGTATATAATACAGAGTACTATCTAACCTGCTGCAGACTGAAGCGATACACCTTTGAAGTCTTTGTCAGTGAGATTTCGTACTTTCTGATTGACATAGTCATAGAACTTGCGTACAATGAAACCAGGGCATTCTTTACGGTCAGGCACTGGCTTGTGAAGAGGTACAAGATGTATCACACACTCATGCATCACAGAGATAGCAGGGACTTCATCAAGGTGACAACTGTAGAAAAGCTCCCTTGCATCATTCGATTCCCATGTTCCACCTCCTGTTTTCTGGACCTCTCCAGGGCGAAAAAATCGCTGTACTCCAACCATTAAATCCTCGCCATCAATTTGGAAAATGTCCTAGCAGGCAGAGCATCAGAAAACTTAATTCTAAAGCATGCAGCCACTAATTCTACAGTGAACCAAACTGCCAAAAGGGACATGGTCAACATTAACATCTAGCTAACCATATACTCCTTGATATACTAGATAGAGAGATATTCCATCAATAAAACAGATACAACACGCAAAGCAATATTGTAGAAATACTAACTTTTTCCACCAAAACTTTGGGGAAAAATCACTTAGCATTGCAAGGTTATACTAGTTTACATTGAGTCTGAACTCAAGGATATTACCATACAGATGGCCTTGAAATATCAGAATATATATAACATAAAGGTCAAAAAAGAAGGATCTACACATACACATCTACACTTAATTGAATGAAAGTATACCAATAGGCAAAAGTCCAGCAATAGTGAAACCTCATTGCTGGTAAGTCTTAGAAGCTATAAATGTAATCATGTATTTGGTTCCCCTTGACCCAACATTCTTTACATTAGCAAGGAAAACACTCAACCAATGTAAAATACTACCACTGCCCCCTTTTGTTTACCCCAATTTCCTTTATGTTTGTCTTTGTGAGTTTGTGACTTTGCCCCGTGCTATAAATGGTACAGGGACCACTAGTTTCCTCTCACATTCACACTACATTGGTCCCACCAATTATTTCACACATCAACTTCAAAACAACCAAAATTTTAAAAAGTAACAAAACCCAATGAGGCTAACGAAAGAGGGATGGAGGGAGAATGCTCCAGTCACTTAATAACAGCCCAAACCCAATTGGCATTGCTACTTGATGATGGCCTTGTTTGGCAAATGGTTGTTGGCTGCTGGTAATTGGCGGTTGGCTGGTTCACTTGGCTTGTTTGACCAGCTAGAATGTTTAGCTGTTTATAATGGCTTTTGAAATTGGCTGTTTATGCTGGCTGTTTATAAAAGTGTTTGGTAAATTTAGTTGGTGGCTGTTGGCTGTTTATTAGATAATTTGTGGGCCAACAAGCCAAAAGCCAACAAAAAAAAAAAAGCTACTCATAGCAGCTTTTTTATTTTGGCTTAAAAGCCAGCTTTTTCGCTGAATGAAAAGCCAATTACCAAACACTTTTTTTTTGCTGTTTGACCATATAAAAAAGCCAAAAGCCAAAAGCTAACCAAAAAGCCACCAAAAAACCATTTACCAAACATGGCCGATGTGTTACCTGATTTGTCTTAAGTTGAAAAGGCAATCCAGTGCATGGTACTTAGAGAAAATGAGAATAATGAGATAACATGCATGAGCATAAATAGGGGCACATACAGCAAAGAACCTACACAAGGTCATTAAGAAACTACTGGAGTAATTGGCCACTTGCATAAACTTCCAGCAAATATAGTCCAAATCCGTATGACCTTAAAAAGCAAATATTTATGGGAAATCCAATGAATTGAAGGCAACCACAAGTCCTATTACTGGAGTAGAAAACAATAATGATATTTTAAAGCCTTAAAGGTCTCTTATTCATCAACACTTTCTATACCACGAACATTCACACAGGATAAGCAACCAAGATTCCCCGAACCCCCCCCCCCCCCGGGGTCTTTTATTAACAACAAGCTCTGTGCACTACCAACCCAGTTATCATCATATACAGAAAGAGTTAAATACATATTTGTATCTGAAATAAAAGTTTACATGCTTAAGAACAAGAAACAAGGTGTGCCTACCTTTATGATTGTAACAGAAGGCTTGACTTTCCCCTCCTCTGGTGTCACAAGTATACTATCCTCCTGCATACAAAAGTCATTTGTTGATAACACAGTTTTATAAAAAGGGAACAGAGTTGTTCAAACTTAAATCAAAATCCCCCATTTGGATGTTAGGTTGAGAAGGGGGAAAGAAGAAATAGGAAAAATCAAATATTGCCCCTCTTTGAATGGAATAAATCCTACCGAAGTTATGTAAACTGCAAAGAAACTTGCCTTTGCAAGACTCAAAAGGAGTAGCATGAAATGCAAAGAAGCCTGTGTTCCTAAACTCTAAAGTCTAAAGGACGAGAAAGAAGAAGAAAGAGAAAAAATAGCATGATACGCCCGTCACACTGCTAGAATTGCTCCTCATGATACAACTTTTCATCTATGCTATTCCGACACTTAATTCCACATCAACATACTTGCTGTTCACAAATAAAATTCCTTGACAAACATGATTTTCAACCTTATATTCAGCCTCGAGATTCAGCACACTATCAATTTATCCCTTGAAACTGAATAATATAGCTTTACATTTCTTCACATCCCTAAATCTCAGCAATATCACCTATCCTTTACAGTCTAATTTCCAGTACCAAATCAAATTATTTGGGATGTCAATTCTTCACAAATTCATGATATTCCAAAGAATGCACTAACAAAGTAGCAATAGAAAATGAAAAAAATGGCAGAAATATAGAGATCTACAAGTATAACTTGCAAGTTATGGGTTGAAAGCAGACAGTAAAAAGTAATCATCTTTCTGAAAATTCAATTGAATATCCCATTATCTAATCAAAAATCAAACAATAAACCCCAGATACTAAACTCAAACAACAAACCCAGATTCTAAAATCAAACAATAAACCCAGATTCTAAAATCAAACAATAAACCCAGATTCTAAAATCATACAATAAACTCAGATTCTAAAATCAAACAACAAACCCAGATTCTAAAATCAAAAAATAACCCTAAAATTAAGAGAAAAGAAAGAAAAACTTACAAGTTGAAAACGATTTCCATCAAATTCAAAAGCCCTATAATGTTTTTTTCTCTGAACCCCATCATCAGAAATGCTAATAAACTCGCCAATTGGCCGAGCACCGTCATCGTCTTCGGAATCATCTTGGTCACTGTCACTGTAATTTCTGGATTGTTCATCAATTGCGGGTTCAACGATTTGATTAAGGAGCTTCGTCTTCTTGATATCATCACTGTAATTGTCGTTTTCATGCTTCTCAAATGCCTTGCTTGCCACCATTTTCGTTCTCTTTTTCTGCAGAATAAAGGGCTTTAGCTGCCAAATATTCGGAGGAAGAGTCCATACTAGCGCATAGCAGCTATGGGCGTAGCAAATGTATAGGAGGGCAGAAGCGTCATTTACTAGGCATTAAGAACAAAAGTGGAAGGCTAACTGTGTTGTATCCCGTTACTTTTCAAAAACCAATTTCATTACCTTTGAAGCTTATTCTCTCTCCTTCATTGCTAGTTTTCTCTCCACTCTCTCTCCTCCCTGAAGGTCCTGTACTCTGTTCCAACGAAGACGCTAGGCCGGTGGTTGTCGCCGGAGAAAGAGCAGAAGTTTACTGCGGTGTAGGTGGTGCGTAAATTGTAGGTAGTTGCTACTAGCTTCGTCGTTTGATTGAAGGTATGGGCGCAAAACACTTCTCGAATTATGATTTTCTGTGTAAATGTTGTAGTTGTGACTTTTGTTTGTTGTTATGAAGTTTTAGTTTATGTAATTTAGGGTTTTCCAGTGAATGTAGCGATTTAGGGTTACCTCTGTTGTGCATTTGTGTAATTGGTAAAAATTGTTAGTGGGCGTCGTCCTAAAACCCCTAATTGGATTGAATTTGTATTTATGATGTTTTAGTTTATGTGATTTAGGTTATCCACTGAAAATAGCGAAGTAGGGTTTCCTTTGTTCTGCATTTTTATTGTTGGAATTAATTTGAGGATGTGAAACCCGTAATTGGAATGAATGAATTTGTTGTTATGATGATTTAGATTATGTAATGCTTTGTTAACCACTGGAAATTTGCGTCTCGTTGTTGTTTAACTGTAATGGACAAGCGAACTTGTTTTGGGTGTGGTGGTAGGACTGTTGAATTAAAGTATTTAATTTAATTTAATTTGAATCCATGTAAATGAGTGATTAATTTTGAGTTTTTTGTGGTGGTAGACATATTGAATTATGAACAAGTGATATTGTTACATTAAGAAACTATGACTGTTGTGGTATGTATATGTGAATATAGTGGAGAAATTACATGTGAAGAGTTAAGGGTTCGTTGAAATGGTTTTATGTAGTTGGAAAATCCCATTTATCGAGCGTTCATTTGAACTTGGCAGGAGGAAATAATGCCGCCGAGGAAGAGCAAAGGATCAGGAATGGTGAGTTATTGTTTGTTGAAATTAAAAGATTGTGTGTCTGCTGGATTTTCTTAGTGGTGGTTGTGTGTTGTAGTTGATTTTTGGTGGCAAATATTTGTGTTTGTGTAGGCGTGGTCGAAATCCGTGAATGAAGAGGTGCCTAAAAAGAAAGCAGCTAGTAAAGGGAAGAAGAAATTGAAATCTGATCCAGTTTTTGAGGTAGAGTATTTAAAGGACTCTGATGAAGCTGGTTCTGATGATCGTGGTTATACTGAATCTAGTAGTGATGTAGCTGTTTCTGATGATGCTGTTTCCACATCTGGTGATAACGAGGAAGATGAGGATGCGAAGGACGATGGTCAAGGTAGTGAAGAAGAACCTGAATAGGACAAAGTGAGCTACCAGGATCTTCTGATCAAGTTATTGCGGGAAAAGGTTGAGAAAGGGAAGCGCAAGCGAGGTCATATTGAGAAAAGGACAGGAAAAAGGGGCAAGCCAAAGGTATGTCATGTTAGATGGAAATGATAAAAGCTTATTTGTTGTGTAATACTTGGATGGAGAAATGAAATGTGTAATGTCATGTGTAGGTCGAGAAGACGAAGGGAGAAGTGGCGAAGGAGAAAGGGGTTGTCGTTAAAACCCAATCAAGAAGTACGCAGAAGGTACTCTGTGAACATTATTTGTTGAAATCCATGACATGGAAATGTCTGTTGGGAGTTCTGTGGTTGGTCCTTTGTTTTGTGTAGGTAGTTGGGTAAATAAACTAAATTACTAAAGATTAATTGTAAATTGTAGTTTAGCTGTAAGTTAAGTATGAATATTGTGAGTCTTTAATTGGATGTGCAAGATTAAATTCCCTTTAGAATATTCACAAGTAATTTGAATGGGATTGTATAATTAGTTTGTATTTAGGTGGTTTATATGGAAGGACAGTTGCTGTAATTTGTTGTAATTTAGTTGGAAATGTAAAAAATTGAGGTAACCTAGAAAGGAATTAGTTGGAAATGAAGAATTTGAGTAACCTAGAAGGAATTTAAGCGGTTAGTGGTGTTATTATGTGAGGCTTGGGCCGGTGTCATTTGATTGAAGTTTGTGTTGTTTGAATGTAATGTTGTAGGCCCCAAATTTGCATGGTGTGAAGGCTTTTGCAACTGCAGTGAAGAAGTTTGATGACTCTTGAAGAAGCTGGTCACAGAAATGGGTTTTGGAGGGTTGTTAATTATACCCCTGACTCTTGTACCCTGGAAGTTTGTGTACTGGTTGTTGACAAGGGTGATGAGTGATGGTTCCATAAATTTTGGAGATGAGTGTGTGCTTCCTTTGAGTCTTGTACAGGTCGAGTACGTACTTGGGATTCCCATGGGGTCGAAGGAATTGCCGTCTACGATTCCGGAGGATAAGAAGGCAGAGCATAAAAGAATTTTGGAGAAGTTTGGGAAAAACGAACACATTTCATTAGTAGCTGCGTTGGGGGCACTGATTCGAAAAGATGAGGAAGGTAATGTGTTGCCGTTGTTGGATGACGAGAAGGCTGATTTCAAGATAGCCTTTCTCATAGCAGCTCTGGGCTACTTATTGTGTGCTACGGCGAACACAAGCTATCTTGGGGTGAAGCTTGTACCGTCGTTATTGGTTTACGATGAAGCGGATGAGTATGACTGGTGCAGTTATGTATTTAACTGGATGGTTGGTGCAGCCAAGAGTTTCCAAAAGAAATTTGCTCGTGATGGATATGTTGCAGGTTGTGGGGGTTGTATCCTTTTTTTGTTGGTGAGTAAAATTGGGTATTTTCCGCCGTACATCAAAAGCTTCTTGCATAATTGTATTAAATTTTGTAGTGTTCTCGTTTGTAATGGTTAGTTGAACTAAATCATCCATCCTTACTTTTTTTTGTAGGTTTTTTTTATCTAGATCACCTAAGTCGCGTCCCTATGAGGTGGGATGTGAGACCGAGACTGGAGGCGTGGTCCGAAGAAAAGATTAATGAGGCGGTTGGTGATGACAAAAAAGAATCTGGGGATTTCGGAAAATTGCCGGTTAGTATTAGTTTGACTTTCAGTTGATGTGAATACATCCCTGCTGAAGTTGTTACGTTTGATTCATTTTCAGTCTCTGGAAGTAGCGTATGGGGAGCCGCATCTGTTGACTCCTCGGGAGGTTCGAAAGCAAAGGGTGGAAAGCGTAGATGTGCAACAGACTACGCAGGAGGTAGATGTGGAAAATATTACGCAACAGGTATAATGCAAGTCAATGATTGTGTTAGATGTAGCTCTATAATTTAAGAAATAAGTGACATGTCCTATGGCAATTGTTAATAGTTTTTATTTATGCTTTCCTGAAGGTGTTGGATAGAATTACTCCGAAGTTGGTGGTTATGATGGATTTGAAATTAGGTGACGTTATGAAAACAATGCATATGTTGATGTCACAGTATGTTGACGTAGCTAAAGCCCGGAGAATGAGTAGGGGGGACCCAACGGAGAAGGAAGTTGTTGTGCATGAAGATGAGGCTTTGGGCAGGTGTTTGTTGGAGAAGGAAAAACTAGAAGAACGTGCGAACGCAGTTGGTGGGAAAGAGCCTCATGCTGATGCAGTTTCAGGTGAAGATGACCTGGCCGTGTGTTTCAAAGGATTTCGGATGATCCACTGTTACTTCAGTTATGGTGGTGAATTTTGGAATGTTCACCCTGTTGCAGGCTACTTGGCCTAGGTTCAGTACTATGACACAGAGCTGTCGTTTCAAAAGAAACACACATTCATTCCAGTGGAACAATTTAAAGTCACAACATACAGGCACAGTTAATGTAAACATGTAATGGTACATTTTTTGTGCCACTGGATGTAACGGAAACAACACAAAGGAGTTTGCATGAAAAAAATTAGTAATACTATTGGTGCACCTTGCATATGCACACGTATATAAAAACTAAAAAGTTGTACACACAAAACTAACTCTTAGTAAGAACTAGTGCATTTCGTAAATTATATGAAGGATGACTCTTAGTAGGAGTTGGCGATGATGTGGAAATGGATAGAGATTAAGAACTCCCCCATTTTAAGATGCTTCTCAGTATTGATGCTGTAACGTAGAGTTAACTTAGTAGGACAAACATAAAATCAAACAAAGTTGTCTTTAAATAAGTCTAAACAGCTTCCAGTGGTACATTAATCGTTCATGATATGTACCACTATGATCTGACATATTGAAATGACTGGTGATGAAAATGGCAGTTCCTCATATTACGCGTTCTCCAAGGAGATGTCTTGTCAAAAGAAGCACAAAGTCTGGTTAATGCTAGAAGTTAGCCACTGGTGGTACATTTGATTTTGTATTCGGTTGGTTGGTTGTACCATTGTATGTATTGTTTTATTTTTTACCTTCAGTTACAGTGGTGAATGCTGAGCCTGTTACAGGCTACGTGGCCTAGGTCTAGTACTATGGGACAGAGCTGTCGTTTCAAAAGAAACGCACATTCATTCCAGTGGTATTATTTATAGTCACATACATATACGCACATTTAATGTAAATATGTAATGGTACAACTTTTACACCACTGGAAGTAACGAAACCTACACAAAGTAGTTGGGATTGAACTTAACGCATGGTGATACTTGCGAATATAAGAAGGGTGGCAAGTATTAGTTGAAGGGTGGTTCCCTTTCCTTGGAGTAATAAAAGTTGCCAAAAATAAAATAAAATGGGTGGCCCAAGAAGTAAGAGAGTGATGGCTGATAAGGGAGTGGTAGGTGATAAGAGCCCAAGCAGCCTTATGAAGCGGTTGGAATTCATGAAAAAATGGGTTTCACGACGTAAACGGTGTTGTCCGGGACTTTTACCTATCCAATAGAGGTAAAGAAATGATGTTCGCCCACCAATCATCCACCATTACTCGTGGAGGGATTCAAAATCCCATCACTGGGATAGATTTCCATCCGGAATACCCTTTCCTAACTCTTTTTAAACTAGGAGG